CAAATGAAAAAATATTTTCACTAAAGATTAACATCTTTGAGTACTACAAATACCCCGAGTTTAAGTGTGATCGAAGAAATAATCATTTGAACCTTGATCACTTCACCTGGGGTGCTATTTTGTAATTTCAATTTGACTTTCGATTTGATAATGACTGACTTTTGACATTAACTTTGACTTTGACTTAAAAATTTATAAAACTACTATATTACGTGAAACGAAAATTAGGATATCCCTGAGATGTTTTACAGGTATCAAAAGAAGATACGATTGTTTAAGCTTCGGAATGTCTCATCGACGCCTACAGAGTAAACGTCTTAAATACCGAGTCACTAATTTTTGTTTAACCTAAGTTTTTTTAACACTAGAACTACCGATGGTACAAATTGTCCCGTCGCGTATGTTTGTTCTAGTGTATCTTCCGTTAATGACTAGCTAGAGCGCTGAAATTTTCTGACTTTTATTGTTTTGTTGAGTTTAATCAGTATACCAAATTTCAGATTTTTATTTTTATTAGAACCTGAGATCTGAACCGGCATACCTAGAACTACCAACGGGACATTTTGTACCATGGTTATTAATATTGTTAAAAACAATTATTATTACAAAATTAAAAAATAATCATTTTGCACAGTTATTAGAAAGTATAAACAATTATAATATATATGGAATTATGATTATTTTGTATTATAATTGCCGATATTAATATTTACAAGACAAGCGTTTTTAATACAAATCTGCATGGGAAGCAGCGCAACGGACGGTTAGTGTACGAAACTGCTGGTGAAACGCGCTTATCAAAAAAATCGTTTTTGGCAAAATCTCAGTTAAAGTTATGGGTTTTCCATATATATAATTTATTGTTGAAGGTTTATTTATTATTTTAAGGTCTACCGGAAGTTTGCAACTTTTCGGGATAATTTTCTATATTGCTCTAAAGTTAACATAAAAAAGGCCGTTTTTAATCACTCAAACATATTTTTAGTCAAAAATTAAAATGCTGAAGTATTTCCGACTTCGGATTTGTAATCTACGTGAAAAAACCTATGAAAATCATGTATGATTTAATTTTTCTAACTTGTAAATGTTAATAAAAAAACATAAATGAATAATGGGACAAAATGTACCGGTGGTAGTTTTAGGTATGCAGGATCTTCGGTAGTTCTAGTGTTGATGCAAAAAATGCTATTTTGTGTTTCTTTATACAATTTCATAATTCTTCTAAGTACATCAAATTCAAACAAAAAACGTATGAAAACGTTGCATCGCAACAATTTTGATGTTTTTTGTATCAGTGTTATATGTTGGAAATACTGTGTTAGAAACTAGAAAGAAATCAATGATTATTAAAATTTCTTGAATGTGAGTATTTTTCATGTGGATTACAGTGGACATAAAATAACTTGAAAACATTAATAGACGGAAATAGAGTTTGTTTGTTGTTTGCTTTCTTCTAATAATTTTAAGTAAATGATCTATTTGAAAGTAATTAACAAATAAATACACTTATTTTTTTTATGATTAATTTTTTTTTAATGATTTTATACATGCTGGAAAATATTATTTTTAACCCCTTCGCTGTGTAGCAGAAATAAAGCTTCCGTGCCCCGTATGTGGTAAAAAAAAATTTTTTTAAAAAAACTTGATGTTACCATACCTAAGAATACCCATTGACAAGTTTATCGTATTGTGTCTATTTATTTTTTTCTAGATGCTACTATAGCGGTCATACACACTGGTGGCACGATATTTTTATGCCTCTATAGAGGTCAATAACAGTGAAGGGGTTAAGAAATGGTAATTCCTAGGTAATGACAGAAAATCTTCTGCTTTGTCGAAATCATTCCCTCTTCAATTTCATCTACATTCACCACTACGTTATTTAATTCTTCGTTTCGAAGAATTATTTAAAATCGCCCTTCTACATTTTATCGTTTGCGAATATTTTATATTAGACAGCAAGAAATGTAAACATGTGTTGTGCTCTACAAAATATACGCAAACGATACAATGTAGATGAGCGATTTTAAATAAATCTTCGAAACGAAGAATTAAATAACGAAGTGGTGAATGAAGATGAAATTGAAGAGGGAAGAATTGTGTGAAAGAATATAATAAATACTTATTTTACAAACATTTAAATTATTAAATTTGTTCATTATTTAATCTTTAGTTTTTCAACGTAAAAAAATTATTAATTTACTCAGTTTTATTTAAATAAAATATTAAAAATCTATCTGGATTCAAATGTTTTTAGTAAGTTTTAAAAAAAGTATCAAAGTTAAAAACTATCCTTCCTTTATTTATTTATCGACGAATAGAATGGTTTCGACAAGGTAGAAGATTTTTAAAAATAATAAACGGACCTCAAATTCATAATTAGCAGATGAAAATCTTGAGGAAACCATTTTGTTTGATTTTTTTTAACATTATTATTCGATAATATTGCATGTTCTTTTTTTGACATGGTCCCCTTTGACCCCCTGTATTTCCGAAAGGGGGCATATGCTAATTTTGAAATTTTTCAGGGATTATTGGGTCATCATATGTTACCATTTCCCAAGAAGCACGTAATATAACCTCAATATCAAGGTAATATTACATGTAAGATTCCTAATATAACGTTGTAATATTACACTAATCTTACAGTGATCTTAAAATGTCCGCCTCAAGGTAATATTACCGGTAATGTTACTGTAATATTACGCGCTAATATTAAGGTAATATTACAGTAATATTGCAGTAATATTATACCATAATATTAAGGTAATATTACAAGAGAATATTACAGTAATATTATGGGAACATTTCTTTACGAAAAAAATCTACCCATCCAGGGAATCGAACCCCGAACTCAAAGCACCGTTAATATTACAGTAATATTCCCGGTAATATTACCTTGAGGCGGACATTTTAAGATCACTGTATGATTACTGTAATATTACAGCGTTATATTACGAATCTCACGTGTAATATTACCTTGATATTGAGGATATATTACGTGCTTTTTGGGTTGACTTAAAGAAAGTTTCAAAATTCGAGGTACGAAAAAGGTGCATTTTTTGCATGGGGCTTTATAATTGATGGATGTGACTAGCGATCACGGAGGGGAGTTTCCTTCCTTTAGGCATAGCCAAAATTTATTGATTCTAATATAAAAATAATAAATTTTATAAAAAGGTAATAATAGTATTTGCGATATTTCATACAAATAAAACAATATTCTAAAAATTATTAATATTATTTATCATTTATTTACCAGAACACTGAATTTACAGTGGTCACGGAAGGGAGTTTTTACACTATATAAACATGATTATATTCAATTATTTGAAATTTTCAATTTCTTTTTTATGAAATCTAATTAAATCCTGTTGATTTCTATAGTTAGGCCGGCAACATTTTCAATTATTATAATTATTTATTAAAAATAATGTCATAAACGTGTCATTTTAGTGAGAATGACCCTTATATTAAATGTATATTTTGTCTAATAGTCGAGTTTAACAATAATTTCTACATTTTAGAATCATGTAATATATTAATTTCGTTTTAACTTAAATTAGTAATAGAATATGATCTAGACTTATTTTACCATAATACATGCGACTCACATGCGTAGCATATGCACCAAGAGAAAAAATTTATTAGTTTTGAATAAAAACGTATATTTAATTCATTTTTATTTATTTCAAATAAATATTTTATTTAAATTAAATAAATAAATGTTTGTTTGAAATTGTCGTATATGTTTCTTACAAATAAACAATTTTATTAGTACTTTTTAAAAAGGTACATTGTGGCAAATAAATAATATATTTAATTCAAATAAAAGTTTATTCGTGTTCAACGCAAGCATGCGCAGAATACTGTATACTATATAACTTTAAAGATATCGGACGTAGTGAAAACGAGGTGACAGATTAACGCGACCAAGCAGTTGTTTGTACAAGGATTGATTATTATTTGATTAAAACAAATACTAATTTCAGGATAATTGAAGAAATGTTTATATTCGCGAGTGTTTATTAATTAAATCCCCCTTTCCTTTTATTTTGAGTGCCTTTCTCCCTGTTGTGTCTCAAATGTGAAGCAGAATTCAAATCAACTTATCATTGACACAGAGAAATGGAAATTGTTATGTTTCAACAATATCCACGGAACATACAAAAAATAACCACGAAATGTAAAAATTTAAGATTTTTAATTTGAATCATAAATTTTAATTATATCAATTCCAGAATATTTGGCTGAATACCAGGCAATTTTGCAATTAAACGGCGTGCGAGCTACATGTCTGACACTGTGAGCGCATTTTGCTATCTGGAAGGGTGGCCCTTATTTACCTGGTAGAAATTTTCAAAAACTTCCAAAAAAGTGATTTTTGGGACTTTTACCTACACTTTTCTCAAAATCCTAACGTGATGGGAGGTTTTCGTTGCCAGATTCGGATTCAGTGCACTAAAAATTACGGAAAATGACTTCTCGATCACTGACAACGGAAATTTTGTTTTTTTGCAGGCTTGTGTAATTAATGAAGTTAACATCAGTTAAAGTTAAAAAAATTTAACAACAAACTCTATGTGGGTTGAAAAGCCCTGCAACAAGATTGAATATAATAAGAAAGTCAATCGTCCTCAATTGTAAGAACACGATTGGGGACAATAGAAATTTCTGTCTTATTGTTTTCAATCGATTTTTTCTGGAAGGGCACTGAATTCCTTATTTCTCTTCAAAATGGCTCAAAAAATGTACAAACAAAGATTGTTCAAAAGCACAATAAAATGATGCCCAAATGTCACTGAATTTTAATTAATTCTTCCTACAAAAAAAATCCATAAAAATAAACCTCAGAATGTGGTTTTCCCCTTAATTTCGAATGATTTGTTTGCGAAATTTTCATCCAGCTTATCATATAATTAAAAAACTAATTAATTTATGAATTATTTTTTATACTTGAAAGTATTGTCTTTAAAAAATAATATTTTTTTCTTTTTCAGGTTGGAAGAAATGGAAGAGGAAAGTAAGTACGTTTTATCAATTATACTGTTTTGTTGATTACGTTTGTATTGTAAGAAGCATGATGATAAAAAAAGCGGTTATTGTAAAAATTAAATTAACTTTTTTTCATGAAAAATGGAGAGAATTATTGGGTTGTTGGAAAATCATGAAGAACTCCTTTGCATGTTTTTGAAAGGCATTTATTTTTCCACAGAACAAATAATATTAATCTGTAACATATTCATCGTTTTGTTCGATCACCTTATTGATGAATTTAAAAATAAATTATATGATTAATTCAATTTACACTCACGCAAGTTGTTTAAATGGCATGCATTGTTTTCGTGTCCAAGCTTTATTTGACAGTCTCTAAAGTCGTTGATTTTCAAGAATTGCAGTATGAGAACTTAATGTATTGAATTCACAGTAGTCAAATATTGCGTTTAAATTATACACGAAGAAACTTTCGTAAATTATCGAATTCAAATTTAAAAAAAAAAAAAAAACTTTTTAATTTTTTATTTTTTTTTTTTGTATTTTGGAAGTTCGATACATTAAATAGTCTGGAACAGACATACAACAAAACAAGAGGACATTGCAAAATGCAAAAGTACATAAAATATCAAATCAACTTGATCAGAGACAAAGACAGACATTATTTGTGAATACACGGTGTTTGAATTTAACAGACATTAAATAAATTAATGGGACTGTATGGTAATCAGTCGAAAAAAAGAAGGTATTTTAAAACTCGTATTTATCGAAAAGTATGTCTGCTAATCATAAAAAAAGTTTTATTTGAAGGAAATAATGCTTTTCTTTAAAAAAAAAATTGGTTGTGGTTATTGTTGTTACACCAAGCCTTATATTTACACAGAAAAAAATTTATTTACATGCATAAGAAAGTTTAAAATAAAGTTTTTCAATTTAGAGAAAAGTGTACTTTTGATAATAATTACTGTTTAAATTCTTAACAAACTATATAATGAATATAACAATAAATATTAATAGAAGAATAAAGAATTATAATTATAAAAAATTAGGATTATGGCAGAGTTCGAAAAAGTGTTATTTAAAATGTAGAACCTGTAAAAATAAATTTATAATGTATCAAGCAAAAATGTATATGGGGTAAAATTCCTGTAGCGAACAAAGTGAAAAAAAAGTTGATCGGATCGGGCTGTAACTTGCACATAATTTAGTCTTAGGGGTGAGTAGTTTAACCACGAAGTATTGTAAGGTTTTTTCAAAAACTGTCGGAGAGGGAGGGGGTTGAATTTTTTTGAATTTAAACTGTGAATTTTTGAAGACTTGTAACTTTTAAACAGAAGGAAGAACAAAAATTTGTCCTGTATGTTTTCGAAAGGTTTTCTCCTGCTTTTTCAAATAGTGCAACAAAATTTTTAAAAAATTTAAACTTTGACCCCTTTTTGAAAATTAAACTTTTTTCGAATTTTTTTTTAAGTTCGGTCCTTTTTATTTTTTTTAAAGCTAAAAATGTGTATTTTCACCACAAAAAGTATTAAGATGTCGTTTTTTGTTATTTTAGAAATATTAAGTAATTAATTAATTAATGTTATAAAAAATGAAATATTTCACAAATAAATAAAGTTATTGCAATTCTAAAAGTACCAATTAAAAGCTGACGTAATTCCGCATCCAACGAGCCCTTTATGGACTATTTTTGATTAGAGGATTTTTTATAAACAATTGCTATGTTAGCCAATTGTTCATTAACAATATACTAATCCAACGTACTTTATATAGGTCTCGTTGGATGCGCAAATTTATAAAAATTGTAAATAATATATAAGTAGATAAAAAAATTCTTTACATATGTGTTTTCCAAATGTTTTTTGTGCTCTTTCGATTGGTGAAAAAAAATTTCAAAAAAATCAAAACTTGACCCTTTTTTCTGAAAATCAAAAATTTTTTTGACTTTTTTTTAAGTTCAGTCTTTTTTTAAAATTTATTTATTTCTTTTTGAAAGTTAAAAATGTGCATTTTTACCTCAAGAAATATTGAGATGTCCTTTTTTGTAATTTTCGAGATATTAGTTAATTAATTAATTATAGTTAATAAAAAATTATATATTTTATAAACGAATAAAGGTATCGTAATTGTGACGTTATTAAAAGAAAGTTGACAAAATTCCGCATTCAACGATCACTATATAAAGTACTTTGGGTTAGTGGATTATTAATAAACAATTGGCTAACGTGGCAATTGTTTATAAAAAACCCTCTAATCCAAAATAGTCCATATAGGGCTCGTTGAATGCGGAATTACGTCAGCTTTTAATTGGTACCTTTAGCATTGCAATATCTTTATTTATTTGTGAAATATTTCATTTTTTATTAACATTAATTAATTAATTTATTCATATTTCGAAAATAACAAAAGAGGACATCTCACTATTTTTTGTGGTGAAAATACACATTTTTTGCTTTCAAAAAAAAATTAATAAAAAAAATAAAAAAGACCGAACTTAAAAAAAAATTCGAAAAAAGTTTAATTTTCAAAAAGGGGTCAAAGTTTAAATTTTTTAAAAATTTTGTTGCACTATTTGAAAAAGCAGGAGAAAACCTTTCGAAAACATACAGGACAAATTTTTGTTCTTCCTTCTGTTTAAAAGTTACAAGTCTTCAAAAATTCACAATTTAAATTCAAAAAAATTCAACCCTCTCCCTCTCCGACAATTTTTGAAAAAACCTAACAATACTTCTTGGTTAAACTATTCACCCTTAGGGCTTAACTATGTGCAAGTTACAGCCCGATCCGATCAACTCTTTTTTCACTTACTTCGCTACTGGAATTTTACCCCATATATATATTTCTGCTTGATACATTATAAATTTATTTTTACAGGTTCTATATTTTAAATAACACTTTTTCGAACTCTGCCATAATCCTAATTTCTCATAATTATAATTCTTTTTTCTTATATTTATTATATAACCTCAGATCACCTACAAGAGGTTCTGAGTATTGTCAATCTTTTATTTTGATAATTGGTAGCAAGATAATTTAAGTTATCACTCAATACATAAAAACTTGAAAATCAAATTCAAACTGTGTCAGTATTTTATCTCACATTTCAAAGAAACCAGACTTAAAAATCATACAAAATTTTTTTCTTATTCCTTACACAGGCACACAAAAAAAAAGTTGTCTGTTTCTTGAACAAGACATATATTTCCTATAGTATTTTAAGTCGCTGAAACCGAACCTGAGCTCAGAATTGCTCCATCATTCTCAGTTTTTTTTTAAATCGACCAAAACCACCCTTAAACGGACAAATTCACACTTCGGAGATAAAAAAAAAATCAAATTATTTTTTAAAAAAACCGAATTTTACATCTACGAAACTTTGCTCCACTAACTCAAAAACAAAGCCAGCATTGATCCAGCACCCCCTGAATTTTTTTAATCGAAAAAACTACCCCTAATCTGAAGAACCAAATTCAGGAGATAAAACAATAAAATAACTGATTGACAAATTTTATAACCAGATATTTTTACTCCAGCAATGCAGAAACAAAGCCAGAAATGCTCCCTCACCCTCTAAATTTTTTTTAAATCGAAAAACAACCCTTAAATAGAAAAATTCAAATTTAAGAAGTAAACAAATATTATATTACCGGCTTTTTTTAAAAACAGAACCTTACATGTATATAGTTTTGCTCTACTAACTCAAAAAAATAAAGCCAGCATTGATCCATCACCCTCTGAATTTTTTTAAATCGAAAAAACTACCCCTAATCTGAAGAATCAAATTCAGGAGATAAAACAACAAAATAACTGATTGACAAATTTTATAACCAGATATTTTTACTCCAGTAATGCATAAACGAAGCCAGAAATGCTCCCTCACACTCTAAATTTTTTTTAAATTGAAAAAACTCAAAAAAATAAAGCCAGCATTGATCCATCACACTCAGAATTTTTTTATTAAAAAAAACTACCCTTAAACTGAAGAATCAAACTTAGGAGGTAAAACAATAAAGTAACTGATTAAAAAAGTTTATAACCAGGTATTTTTACTCCAGCAATGCTGAAACAAAGCCAGAAATGCTCCCTCACCCTCTAAAATTTTTTTAAATCGAAAAAACCACCCTTAATCGGACAAATTCCAATTTAGGAGATTAAAAATTAAATAACTGACTTTTTTAAAATAGAACCTTACTACATTTATGTATTTCCGCTCCACTAACTCAAAAAAAAGCCAGCATTGATCCATCAACCTCTGAATTTTTTTAAATAGAAAAAACTACCCTTAATCTAAAGAATCAAACTTAGGAGGTAATACAATATAATTATATTGTATTACCTCCTAAGTTTGGTTTATCAGATTAAGGGTAGTTTTTTTTATTAAAAAAATTCAGAATGTGATGGATCAATGCTGGCTTTTTTTTGAGTTAGTAGAGCTAAACTACACGGAGAGAAAAAAAAAGTTGTAACTACTTTCCTTCAAGTCATCATTCTGATCATATGAAGTCAAGTAGTTACAACCGGGGAGCCAGGCCGTTTTGACTTGGCTCTTTCATTGCTACTACTGTGTTCTCAGGCAATACCGACCAAGCGATTGGCCTATTGCTTTGACTTGCCGCTTGGCGTTTGCTTCTACCGGTCTTCACACATGTGTAAAGCAAAGTAGAAGCAAACGCCAAGCGGCAAGTCAAAGCAATAGGCCAATCGCTTGGTCGGTATTGCCTGAGAACACAGTAGTAGCAATGAAAGAGCCAAGTCAAAACGGCCTGGCTCCCCGGTTGTATCTACTTGACTTCATATGATCAGAATGACGACTTGAAGGAAAGTAGTTACAACTTTTTTTTTCTCTCCGTGTACATACATGTAAGGTTCTGTTTTTAAAGAAACCGGTAATTTAATATTTTTTACTTATTAAATTTGAATTTTTCTATTTAAGGGTGTTTCTTTCGATTTAAAAAAATTTTAGAGGGTGAGGGAGTATTTCTGGCTTTGTTTCTGCCTTGCTGGAGTAAAAATACCTGGTAATAAAATTTTTTAATCAGTTATTTTATTGTTTTACCTCCTGAATTTGATTCTTCAGATTAGGGCTAGTTTTTTCGATTTCAGAGGGTGATGGATCAATGCTGGCTTTATTTTTTGAGTTAGTGGAACAAAGTTTCGTAGATGTAAAATTCGGTTTTTTTAAAAAATAATTTGATTTTTTTTTTATCTCCGAAGTGTGAATTTGTCCGTTTAAGGGTGGTTTTGGTCGATTAAAAAAAAAACTGAGGGTGATGGAGCAATTCTGAGCTCAGATTCGGTTTCAGCGGTCCAAAATACTATAGGAAATATATGTCTTGTTCAAGAAACAGACAACTTTTTTTTTTGTGTGCCTGTGTTATGAGTCCCGTAACAGAAATTCACTTGAAGTTTTGATTTTTAGGGTTTCGTGGCCCATGGCCGAAAGCCTTATAGTTTCACTTTGGCGTCCGTCTGTCCGTAGTACAAACCCCAATAGTTGACATGTCCCAGTAGTTGACCTGTCTCAGTAATTGACATGTCCCAGTAGTTGACCTGTCTCAGTAATTGACATGTCCCAATAGTTGACATGTCTCTATAGGGGCATGTCCCAGTAGTTGACATGTCCCTATAGTTGACATGTCTCTAATAGTTCATGTCTTAATAGTGGACATTATCGAATGGACATTTTACCTAATGTTTTTGTTTGTGAATCAAAAAAGATAAATGATAGAAAAAAGACCTCCACTCCGCAGCCACTCTTTCTTTTTTCTTTCATTTACCTTTTTTATCAATTTTGATTTTTGCCAATTTTTGATTTTCTTTGATTGCCATTTTTAGGGTTTCGTGGCCCATGGCCGAAAGCCTTATAGTTTCACTTTGGCGTCCGTCTGTCCGTAGTACAAACCCCAATAGTTGACATGTCCCAGTAGTTGACCTGTCTCAGTAATTGACATGTCCCAGTAGTTGACCTGTCTCAGTAATTGACATGTCCCAATAGTTGACATGTCTCTATAGGGGCATGTCCCAGTAGTTGACATGTCCCTATAGTTGACATGTCTCTAATAGTTCATGTCTTAATAGTGGACATTATCGAATGGACATTTTACCTAATGTTTTTGTTTGTGAATCAAAAAAGATAAATGATAGAAAAAAGACCTCCACTCCGCAGCCACTCTTTCTTTTTTCTTTCATTTACCTTTTTTATCAATTTTGATTTTTGCCAATTTTTGATTTTCTTTGATTGCCATTTTTAGGGTTTCGTGGCCCATGGCCGAAAGCCTTATAGTTTCACTTTGGCGTCCGTCTGTCCGTAGTATATTTTGGGGCACCACAGCTCCCAAAATCAAATTTTAGGGCACAGATCCCAAATTAAAATTTTGGGGCACCACAGATCCTAAATTCAAATTTTGGGGCCCCACAGATCCCAAATTAAACTTTTGGGGCACCACAGATCCCAAAATCGAATTTTGGGGCCCCACAGATCCCAAATTAAACTTTTGGGGCACCACAGATCCCAAAATCGAATTTTGGGGCCCCACAGATCCCAAATTCAAATTTTGGGGCCCCACAGATCCCAAATTAAACTTTTGGGGCACCACAGATCCCAAATTCGAATTTTGGGGGCACCAGAGATCCCAAATTCGAATTTTGTGGCACCATAGCTCCCAAATTCGAATTTTTGGGCCCCACAGATCCCAAATTCGAATTTTGGGGCATCACAGATCTCAAATTCAAATTTTGGGGCACCATAGCTCCCAAATTGAAATTTTGGGGCCCCACAGATCCCAAATTCGAATTTTGGGGCGCCACAGATCCCAAATTCAAATTTTGGGGCCCCACAGATCCAAAATCTCCATTTACTGAATGGACATTTTCCCGAATGGACATTACATGAATGGACATTACATGTCCCATTAGTTAACATGCCCCTATAATTAACATGTCCCAGTAGTTCACCTGTCTCAGTAATTGACATGTCCCAATAGTTGACATGTCCATATAGTTGACATGTCCCTATAGTTGACATGTCCCTATAGTTGACATGTCATAATAGTGGACATTATCGAATGGACATTTTACCTAATGTTTTTGTTTGTGAATCAAAAAAGATAAATGATAGAAGAAAGACCTCCACTCCACAGCCACTCTTTCTTTTTTCTTTCATTTACCTTTTTGAATTTTGATTTTGCCAATTTTTGATTTTCTTCGAATTTACTGTCTGGGGGAGAATTAATTTATAGAAATTAATATTTTATAATTTATAATTAATTTATAATAAAAATTTTGCTAAATAAATAAAATTTAATAGTACATAAAATTTATAAAATAAATTTTATTATTTATTTTTAAATTATTTATTTTTGATTTATTTTTTTTTTTAATTAAAATTTAAAGCGCCACGAAACCCTAGATGTAGGCGCAATTGCGCCTAGTTCTTTTCCTATTTTTGTCAATTTCCCAGTAAAAAAAAAAGAATTGGGAGTAAGCGATAAGAATTGGTGGTAACTTAAGCTGAATGCAGTTTGTCGAAAAAACCGATTTGGAACGTTACGGTAAATTATTTGTTTCTTACCGTGAATTCTTTTCTCTTAAACATTTGAATTGACGTTTGTTTATTCGAGTTTGCATTATAAATGAATAAAATAAATGCTTCGAAGTCTAAAAAAGCCGATTTGGAATAAGAAATATATAATTTAAAAAAAATAAATGAAAGCGAAGTGTGACAGATTCACCGACGATTTTATCAAGTGAGTAGTGTTCATATGATAAATTTACCATATGAGTAGTACTCACATGGTAAAATTGTCGGTAAATCTATCACATTTCACTTTTATTTCTTTTCAAAAAATTATATATTTCTTATTCCAAATCGGCTTTTTTAGACTTCGAAACATTTATTCTTATTCATTTATAATGCAAACTCGAATAAACAAACGTCAATTCAAATGTTTAAGAGAAAAGAATTCACGGTAAGAAACAAATAATTTACCGTAACGTTCCAAATCGGTTTTTTCGACAAACCGCATTCAGCTTAAGTTACCACCAATTCTTTTCGCTTACTTCTAATTCTTTTTTTTTACTGGGTTGGTTAACCCCTTCATTGTGAGGAGTAAAATCTTAAATGTGGGGCCAAAATGTTAAGAAACTTTTTTACCATCAAAATTTTTGAAACTAAGTGAACTTAGGTTTTTAGGGTCGCTGATTACGAATCTGCTGTTAGTTTTTCAAAATTCAAAACAGGGTATTCAACATGGCACACATATTTTTCTAAATGCGGCAGTTTTTACTTGAAACACGTTACTCAGAGGTTTTCAAGGTCGTTGATTACGAATCTGATATTAGTTTTTCAAAACTCAAAATGGCGGATCCATATGGCGGTCAGAAAAATTAAAAAGCAATCAAAATTACTTAAAACTTATTACTCAAAGATTTTCAGTGTCATCTGAATTCAAATTTACATTTTAGAAATTAAAAACAGTGGATGAAATATGGCGAAAATCAATAATTTAAATATTAAATATGAAAAAAAAACTATAAAAATCCACTTCCGCAATTAGCTAGTAAACAGTTTAACAGTTATCCACAACACCAGAGTGTACCACGTGAAGGTGTGCGGCAGGATTTTACACTCCTTATTTTTTTTGTATTTTTAGATTTTTTTGATTAAAATAAAATTGAATAAAATTAGAATAATTTTATAAATACCATTCTATTGCTTATCGAAAACTGCACCCAACGAGCCCTATTTGAACTGTTTTGAATAAGCGGGTTTTAAATTAATAATTAATAATAAAAATTATTTAAATAATTAATAACATTGGAAGAAATGAAGTTAAATCGTCAATTCATTTTTTATTTGGAAGATCATCTAATTCTGCGTCAAAAAAAGAATATTAAGTATTACTAAGAATCGAAAATTAAATATAAAATGTTATTTAAAGAAAGATTGAAAAATACCATTCCTAGTAAGAAGGCAACTTCTGCCGAGTTGTGCCGTGGGGTGCTGAAACAATGATTTTCAATAATCATCTGTTAATAATTTAGATTGTTAAAAATGCTATTTACACTGGTTTTATTTGACGCAGAATTAGATAGTCTTCCAAATAAAAAATGAATTAACTTCATTTCTTCAAATGTTATTAATTATTTAAATAATTTTTATTATTAATAATTAATTTAACAACCGTTTATCTAAAATAGTTCATATAGGGCTTGTTGGATGCGGATTTCGATAACCAGGGAATAGTATTTTTAAAATTATTCTAATTTTATTTGTTTGTAAAATATTTCATTTTTTATTAACTTTTGATAGTTAATTCATTAATATCTCGAAAACAAAAAATAATGCCTTCACAAAAATTTAACCATCGATTTATTAGGACTTAAGGTAGTATTACACTTTACACCGTCAAAAAAATCGATTTTTTTTGCATTTTTCTGTTCCAAATCATCTTGGAAATATAATCCCAAAATATTAAATCAAAATTCGTCGAAATAAAAAAGTTACAGAATAAACTGCAGCGCAGTGTATTCACCAGTGTTGGGTAGTAACTAGTTATTAGTAACTAAGTTACTGAAAAAGTTACTTTACTTGTAACTTATAACGTACCTAACTAAGTTACTTTTTTAAAAAGTAACTTGTAACGTAACTTAGTTACTATTTTAATAGTAAATTTTAATTTTAAGTTATTTCGTTACTTTCTTTGCACTTTTTTATTGCTTTGAAAAATTAATAATTTCGTATTTCAAAAAAAGCGCACAAAGTGATAGCAAAAGAACATAGCCTCTGCGCTCGCATGCTGCGCATTGTACCAAGTGTTTACATTCTGTTTTTCATGTGCTCGTGTTCCATCTTATTTGTTTGGTTTACTGTTGCAATATAGGGGATTTACCTGCATAATTTAAACAGTGTACAAGATTTTTTTAAATAAGATTTTAATTAATTAATTTATTTGTATTCGGAAGTTTTATATAGACTTTTATTTAAGAGTTTATAAAAATAAATTTTAGCAACCCCGTCTCGAAATTGTACCTTATTAATTGATTTGTAAATTAATTCTTAAAATGGCAAACAAAATCCATGATTATAAAAACTAATTTTCTAATAATAATAATATTTTTAAAATTTTTATAAATAAATACTTGGATAGGTTAAACATGGATGCGTTAAAGAATTAGAAGCAGCTATAGCGAAATAAAAAAAAGAGAAAATTCGAAGAACAATTCTCAGATTCTTCATCACAGTCAAATAAGAACCCAGCAAACACGTTCTATAAATGTTCTATAACAGTGATGTCACAGTTTTACAGAACAGTTGTTACAAAAGAGTGACAGAACTGTTCTATATTATGATAACGTCACAGTTCTATAACAATGTTATGTAACATGTCTATAACACGAAAGTCACAAATGATCTGTAACTGACGTTCCAAGGTAGTTCTAGAACTGTGCTAGAAGAATGTTATGTATCTGTTCTGAAATTTTGTTGCAGTTAAGTTCTAGAAAACATTTGTTATTACAAAATGGAACAATTCTGTAACTATGTTACGTCACAGTTCTATAACACAATAGTCACAAGTGACCTGTAACTGACGTTCTAACGTAGTTCTAGAACTGTGCCAGAACAATGTTATGTAGCTGTTCTGAAATTCTGTTGCTGTTAAGTTCTGGAAGACATTTGTTACTACAATTCGGAACAATTCTGTAACAATGTTACGTAACATTTCTGTAACACGTTAGTCACAAATAATCTGCAAGTGATGTTCCAACGTAGTTCTAGAACTGTGTCGGAACAATGTTATGTAGCTGTCCTTTGTCTTAAATATAAAGTTAAATTTGAACAGTTTAAATTTGACAGTGCCGTATATGTGGTTTTATATCCAAGATAGTAGTTGCTTATCTTAGGTTTTTTCTTTTTCTATTAATTTACATTGAAAATTCTGAAACACTTTCTCCGAACCAAATAATTCATGTTAATGCCATTAAAAGAAAGTGACTCAAAATTAATCAAAATAATAGCTTCATTGTTATTCCACTTCTGCACGTAAATAATTAATTTGATGTTGAATGTGTGATGCATATTTTATACTTGTAAATATATGTGACACAGACAGTTAAAAGAGACCTACGGTCCGAAAAAATCGATTTTCATTTTTTTATTGATTCTTATAGTAAATAAGCCGCTCTTTCCAACGCATTAAACCGCAGCTTTCTAGCTGCATTAGTTTTTTAACAATTTCACTTCAAAGTTAGGTACCTTGACAAAAAAAAGTACAACAAAATCAAATTTGACAAACTTTTCTAAAATTAGTCAAATTCGCTTGAAACTCGTTACTCAGAGGTTTTCGGGGTCGCTGATTACGAATCCGCTGTTAGTTTTTGAAAATTCAAAATGGCGGA